CACGTTAGGCGCTGAAATGACTGCAACCCCCCCCCCTCTTTAAATAACAAAAGTTGTGAGAATAGGTGAGGTGCAGAAGTGACCCAGACATATCCAAGAGAGAGTAGTGAGAGCGGGTGAGGTGCGACACAAAATACAAACCAGTGCGCAGAGTTACAACATGCTCCTCCTCCTCCTCCTCGTTATCCCCGTCTTCACCTGTGGAGGAGTAGATCTTGGCGCCACTGGGCGTGGTGAAGTACCCGCGCGCCGCCAGCTGCTGCCTCATGCCCTGCGCGCTGTAGCGGGACGGAACGTAGTAGTCGTACATGGCCGCCGTCTGCTCGTCCATCGCCCCGCCCACTGACACGCCCCCGGGTTGGGTGGATGGGAGGGCGGACTCAGGGGTCGCTAGTGCTGGGTCAGAGCCAGTCTGTTGTGGGGCACACAGGGGGTCGTAGAGGTCACATAGAGGTCAGATAGAGGTCACATAGAGGTCACATAGGTCACAACACAAAGCAGCATGATAAACAATATTCAAATATTTCATCATGGCACTAAGCGACCGAATTTGACAGAACTTAAATTGTGACTTTTAAAAAACAAATGCATTTCAGATCATTTGGAAAGTGGGCTTCTGACCCTGCCTGTCAGGGCCAACCCTGGCTAAAAGGGATATATACAACATCCCAGCAGAAAGACACAGATACTCAATTATATTTCTCCCCACATCAGAATTGAACTCCGGTCTCCTGCGTACGTCACAAAGTGCCTACCTGCCACACCACAGATGCCGGCGGTGTTAGATTTTTGAGGTTTTTGTTTTAATTCAATTTTAGGAAATTTTACAGCACTTTGCGACCTCAGTGCTTTCTGTTCATATCTCCACTTTTTTAACAGTGAAAGTGTGACATCTTCTTAAGCTCACTCTTTGTTATGAACTATTTTCACTGTTATTAAAAATGGAGATACGACAAGAAAGCGCTGGGGTGGCGACTTGCGACACCAATAAGTTAAATAAATGTCCAAGAATTGAGGCGTCACTAGAGAGTAAAAAATTAAAACAACAAAGACTGAGAAAGAAAAAAACCAAAAACAACAACAACCCCCCCCCCCCCCTAAAAAAAACAGGACAATCCTCACATGTGCATCTCCTCTAGCCCTTCTGTCCATCCGTTTCTGCCGCAGTCTGTTCTTCACGTTCTCCCTCGTGTTCCTCTCCCCCCCTCGGGTATTCCTCGGGTTATCCGCGTAAGCGTCGGCAGCCGCGTAGCCCAGCGGTATGTCCCCACCGTCGTACTGTCGGTTCTGGGGCAGAGTCCAGTACCACTCGTCCCACTCGCGCTCACGGCCGCCCGAGAACGAGTTGGCTCGCCGTCTGGGCATGCGCATGAACCCGTAGGGGTCGTCGAAGGGGTCGTAGTACTCAGGCTCCTGCCGCCCGTTCTGCACCGCCCCCGGGGGTTGGGAGGGAGGGGGAGGGGGCGGGGGCTGGTAGGCGGGCTGAGGGGGAGGGGCGGGTGGTCGTTGGGAAGCTTTCTCGTTCGCTTGAGCGACACCTTCCTTCAGTCGCTCTATCTCGTCTTGGAGGGCTTTGAGCCGGTTGCTGAAATCATTGAATGAAATATGGTAAGATGAGATCACAGAACAGAACAGAAAAGATCAGAACATAAAATAACAGAACAGAACAGAATAGAAAATAACAGAACAGAATAGAAAATAACAGGACAGAAAATAACAGAACAGAATAGAAAATAACAGAACAGAAAATGACAGAACAGAACAGAATAGAAAATAACAGAACGGAAAATGACAGAACAGAACAGAATAGAAAATAACGGAACAGAACAGAATAGAAAATAACAGAACAGAATAGAAAATAACAGAACAGAAAAT